ATGTTTCTCTCTCTCTCCCTCTCCTTTCCTCTCTGAAATCAATAAAAATTTATTAAAAAAAAAAAAAAAAAGAAGACTCACTTTGTTCCCATTTTTCTGGTGGTACTTGGACCTAGGGAAAAAAGTAAAAATTTTCCGTATAGATTCTTTGCAACCAGGTTTAGATTCTAAACCGATTTGCAACGTGGTGCTCGGCGTGACATGCACAAGCACACCCCCTACTAGGGATTGAGCCCGCAACCTGGGCCTGTGCCCTTACTGGGAATCGAACTGTGACCTCTTGGTTCATAAGTCCACGCCTGACCACCGAGCCACGCCGGCCGGGCATCTTAGTTATTTTTTTTAACGCCTCATGAATTTGCGTGTCATCCTTGTGCAGGGGCCGTGCTAATCCCTGTATCGGTCCAATTTTAGGAGATGTGCCGCGGAAGCCAGCCTCTGTGGTTAGGGATGTAAACTCTGGGAGGTCTGAGACTACAGTGGCGCTCGCTGTGGCGGAGCTGACAACCATTTAATTCCAGTGTCTCCACTGAGAGGTACCGTGACCTTCAGCCACCCAGTACCAAGGCTCCTCTCCGTAGAAATGCAATAACACCCTACGCTGTTCTGCCAACACTGTTAGGGGGGGAGAATTGCATAAGTGTCTGTGTGCCCCATCAATTCTTTAGGGCAAAATAGAAACTTGCAGGGCAGGGGCAATAAATGCTCTTGCCTCCCTGTGCAGAGGTGTCATGAATGACTCACCCAGTCATCATCTTGTCCCTTTCTAAAAATATATATATTTTTTTATTGATTTCAGAGAGGAAGGGAGAGGGGGACAGAGAGATAGAAGCACCCATGATGAAAGAGAATCACTGATCGGCTGCCTCCTGCACACCCCACACTGGGGATCAGCCCACAACCCAGGCATGTGCCCTTGACCGGCATCAAACCTGGGACCCTTCAGTCTGCAGGCTGACGCTCTATCCACTGAGCCAAACCAGCCAGGGCACCATGGATTCCTTTTTAAGATAATATATTTCAGGAGCTGTGGATTCCTTTTTAATTATTCTATAAACTAGAGGCCCAATGCAAAAAATTCGTGCAAGGTTAGACCTTCACAGACCCGGCTGCCAGGGCCTTTGCAGCCCTGGCTGCCTCACAGCCCTGGCCCTGCGCCCCTCCCACACCTTCCTTGGCTCTCTCTCTCTCCCTCTCCTTTCCTCTCTGAAATCAATAAAAATTTATTAAAAAAAAAAAAAAAAAGAAGACTCACTTTGTTCCCATTTTTCTGGTGGTACTTGGACCTAGGGAAAAAAGTAAAAATTTTCCGTTTAGATTCTTTGCAACCAGGTTTAGATTCTAAACCGATTTGCAACGTGGTGCTCGGCGTGACATGCACAAGGAGTCTGAGGGGATCACCTCCATGAAGCTCTCTGTGAAAGATCGGTGCCACGCTCTGCCACCGCGGCTTAAAGGTGATGCCGCAGAACCTCTGCAGCCAAACGAAGCTTCCTAGTCAATTATGGATGGAAGGGATGGAAGGGAGGGCCCGGCAGGCTGTGCCGTGGGCCTGCTGCTGGCCGAGTCGGTGGCAGATGGAGTCACGGGTGTTTCCAGGTGTTAATTGGTGGCGTCTGAGGCCATTGCATGTCATCTCAGTGGACGGCCCGGATGAGGGTGAGTCCTCCCCGTGACCTGCTTGGTTTAAGAAGGAGGAATCTGGGAGGTCTGAGACTACAGTGGCGCTCGCTGTGGCAGAGCTGACAACCATTTAATTCCAGTGTCTGCACGGAGACGTACCGTGACCTTCAGCCACCCGGTACCAAGGTGTGGTTGAGCGTCGACCTCTGAACCAGGAGGCCACGGTTCGATTCCTGGTCAGGGCACAGGCCCGGGTTGTGGGCTTGCTACCCAGCGTGGGGCGTGCAGGAGGCAGCCGAGCGGTGATTCTCTCTCATCATTGATGTTTCTGTCTCTCTCTCTCTCTCCCTCTCCCTTCCTCTCTCAAATTGACTCCTCTCCGTAGAAATGCAATAACACCCTACGCTGTTCTGCCAACACTGTTAGGGGGGGAGAATTGCATAAGTGTCTGTGTGCCCCATCAATTCTTTAGGGCAAAATAGAAACTTGCAGGGCAGGGGCAATAAATGCTCTTGCCTCCCTGTGCAGAGGTGTCATGAATGACTCACCCAGTCATCATCTTGTCCCTTTCTACTAGAGGCCCGGTGCACGAAATTGGTGCATGGGTAGAGTCATTAGGCCTGGCCAGAGATCAGGGCCCATGTGGGCCTTCCAGCTGCCGGCTGGGGCCTTCCTTCCCTGGCTGCTGGCTGCCGGCCTGGGCCTTCCTTCGTTCCGCACTGCCCCCTGGTGGTCAGCACACGTCATAGCAAGCAATCAAACTCCTGGTCAAACTCCCGAGGGGACACTTTGCATATTAACCTGATAGATAGATAGATAGATAGATAGATAGATAGATAGATAGATTATAGATAGATAGATGAATGAGGAAACTGGCCCAGAGGGAGGGTACTTGCCCAGTGGCCTGGCTGACCTGGGACCAGGCCTCCCGTGGGGTCACTTGACCCCATCACCCCAGGAGGCCGCAGGCTGCTGGGAGGTATCCTTGGCGGGGGCTGAGCCAGGGGCACATCCCACCCCTAGTGACTATGTGGTCATGTCACAGTTTTCTTTCTTTTTTTAAAAAAAATATATTTTTATTTTCCTGGGACATAGGTCCAGGCTCAACCACTGAGCCACACCTGCCGGGCTTCATGTCACAGTTTTCTCTCTGTCCGTCTGTCGCCTGCCTCTGGGTGCGGGCGTTAATGAATGGCAGGTACCCCTAGGGGTGTGCAAGGCCTTGCCCAGGGTTAGCCGAGGGCACACTGGCGCCCGTTGCCACGCTGGCCTCTGGACCTCCCCTAATGCCAGGGTCGCATTTGCCACCTGCCTGGTCTGGAGGCGGGGCCAGGGCTGGAAGCGGACAGGCTGGGACCAAAGGTGGGGCCGGGATCTAGCTGGGCGGGATGGGGGCGGGGTGTAGGTAGA